CTTTGTTTATTAGATATATAGAATACCTCTTAGAATCTAAGGCAGATTAAGAAGCAAATAAGCAAGATTAAGGATAGAGTTATTAACTACTAGAATAGCTTACTAACCTTAATCCTTAAGGTAGTAGATAGGTTATTAAGAGGGTTTAAAAGGTTATAGGCTACTATAATATTACTCTAGGCTAAACATAATAATATAAAGACTATAATTAAAGAATTATAGTCTTATAGGGCACTAAGGAAGAAAATCAAGCTAACACTTAACCTTAATACTAATAAATTAGCTGCTAGAGACATAGCATAGTTATAGGCTTAAATAGCAATAGAATTAGTTAGTTAGATTAAGAGACAGCCAAGAGCTAAACTAACCTGCAGCAAGTATAGTATCCAAGGACACAACTCAAGAGGTTGTCTATTAGATAGAGTAACTTCTGAGCATTCAATTAATCCATCTTTGAGGTAGTTCTAACACCTATAGCATAAGATATTAAGAATCAAAGTTATCCACCTCGTAAAGTTGATGCACATGCCTATCTGATTCACATACTTATCAAACACGTTAGTGTTAGCTGCTGATTCTCCCGGTAGCAGCCGGTAAGACGGTAAGCATATCCCTGTTCGAAACAAGATCATGCTACAGCCTGACGTTGGATCTCACTTCAGACACAATTTCTCATAACTTGTGAACGGCCTTTTTCTCTCTGCTAAGCTTCCCAGTTCTCCTCAAGTCAGCACTCTCCAAAACAAGATGAGCGGCGTTTCTGGTTACGATGTACCTCCCATGTACAAAGACAAGATTACTCCGCGTCAGCGACCGGACCCCCGTACTGACTCTGAGATCCTCTCTGAACTCAGCAAACACATCGAGGTAACTTCCGAGAAGAACATATGGTGCTTTTGGGACTCTGGACTTGACAATCTTCCAAATTGGTGTCGTCACAATGTACTCAATTGGGCACGCATTTGCGACTCAACATGGACAGTCCGTCTCGTCCATAAAGTCCCGGGCAAGCCGAACTATGCATTGGACTGGATTACACCCGCTGAGAATCTCCTTCCACCGGCTTTTGTGGACAACACCATGACAGGCCCTTACGTTGGTCAGCACTCAGCGGACTTGCTGAGAGTGGCTTTGATCTGGAAGTACGGTGGCGTGTGGCTGGACGTCGGAGTCATCCTCTTCATGGACCTTGACCGGCTTTGCTGGAACCGACTGTCTTCTCCCGAAAGCCCTTATGAGATGTGTACAGCGTGGTCAAATCAGACTTTTATTGGAAATCATTTCATCGCTGGGCGCAAAGGAACAGAGTTCTTGCTCAAGTGGCAACTGCTCTTCTCGCATCTGTGGAAAGGCCGGACATCCTGTGACGGATTATTTGGACACCCTCTCATGCATTGGCGTGCGGGTCTACCTTCTGACCAAAGCATAGCGCTGAAGTTCAAATGGCCATTTAATGTCCCTCTGACGACACTCGTCGATTATACGGCGCATATCTCATGCTTCGGGCGAGTGGCAAATCTACAGGAGCCAGAAAGCGGATTTGATGGCAAGACGTTCTGGCATGAGAAGGTTCTGAAGATTGATGCGCTTGACGAATGCTGGAGGGCCGAGAAGTTAATTGGGTTCAATGGACAGGACCTTTTTGATTTACTGAATCTGCGAAAGCCAGCCGCAGATGCGGACCAGGAGCGATACCAAAAGGCGGAAAATTTGGTCTGGGATCTACTATCCAGTGCTAGCATGCAGAAGGTCGCCCATGGAAAGAAGTTGTTTGCTACGCCAGCGCTCGGAACTCTCTGGGACGAAATGGAACGTGCAGGCGGAGGTTCTGGAGAGGATACGCTTGCGAAGCTGTTGAGAGATGGCAGCGTCTACTTCGAGCAATCCAGACGGGAGCCAGATTATATCGAAGTAGAGAAGCTCGATTTCGTGCTTCGAAAGGGGCTGCTGGAAGAGTGATGAACGGTGTCAGGTGGTGTACAAGCTTTCATCGAGGTACAAGAAATTTCCTCAAAGACCGCGTTCTTGACTTCGACTGCTACATGCTGATCTGCGTAGAGATACATCGATATAGCTAGACATTTCAAGCATATGCTCCGCCAAGATCCTGCGACTAGTAGCAGACACCATACCAGGGGCTATGGCCAGGAACGTGCTTTCCATCCATGTAATTGCAGCGACTGAGCAGTCAATGTTAGCGTATGTTAGTTCTAGTCTAGCGATTGCGGATGAACCATACTTTCCGGTCTTTGTGCATCGGTGTCCCTGCGTTGTTGATAAGTATAGAGTCGACGGAAGCATGCGGCTTCATCAATGATTATTCTACTGACCTTGTGGCAGCCAAGAGTTGCTGGAGGCGGAGGATCGACTGGCGGAGGATTGTTGATTTGGCAATAACCATTTCCACGTGGATTCATAACGCAGGTCTATAGGTCGGATGAGCAGATATCCTGCATGAACGGCGACACTAGCTCGAAAAAGTGTATTCACACTTACATATGTGGTCCCCAATTGACGCTCCTCGAGTTCAGGGTCCGGCAGTGCTGAGGCAAAAGCTGCGGAAGAGTAGGCAATGATGCCGGCAATGATCGAGATCTTCATGGTTGCGGATATGCGATGCTATTCTGCTTAGTCGATATCAAGATCGTTGAAATTGTTCGAGCTTGGGCACGACTTTCAGCACAGCTGCGGGCTCTTTTATAGAAGTGACTGAGGCTTCCGGCCGTTAAAGGAGTAATCAAATCTGGCCCGCCGAGGTGCTAGCCATTGCACTCGAAGACATTGCCAAGGTGAAAGACTGTTGCGCGAAGCCATGAATACAACCAGAATGACCCGAACACGAACAAGAACATCGATCTGAAGCCCAACATCTTCAAGAAATGCTTCCAACAGCACTGATTGGTGGACCGGAAATGGAATTGGTCCGGCTGACGACAAGGACGCCCTTTACATGATGCTCACTATGTGCCTATAACTGGAAGCCTGATTCGTGATCCGTTCGGACGAGAAATTATTTCTACTTCTCCATTTCTTCCAGTGCTGATTCTCTGTCATAGCCGCAAAGTAACAAGTCAGCGGAGAGGAGTGTGCGGCCGCATCGAACCGGGTTTGATTAGAAGCGTGAGTCTGGATACGATCGATCCCATGTAATCACCTTGAGGTAGATTTATTCATCTCAGCATCAAGCTGCGGCACAAACGTCAGTCCACCATGCCGCTCGCTACCGATTTGTGTCCATCGATTATTGTCTGTCCGAGCAACAACGAGTGAGCCCGTTCCATCGTCGCCACTACGCTCCGTCACCCTGCTGAGCCTGCTCTTGGTTCGTTAATCCTCAGGACGGCAAATGCTGTCGAGACTGGTGTTAATCTAGGCCATATTCTCCTTCATCAACTGGGTGTCAGCTCTCGTCAATCATTCCTGCAGATGGTCCCAATTGGTCTTCTTCTGCTTCGAAACACCTTTCGAGGGAATCTTGTTTGCGCTTCGGCGACGACACCAGAACACTTGGTCTCAGAGCAGAGGCTTCTTGCAGTGTTGATCAAGCGGCGAATGCGCTTCTCTCCTGCCGCTCGTCCCGACTTCTTCTTCGTGTCTCGAGCGCAAGGACCTATTTCTTCCAAACACTCACGGCGATCCCAAGATAGTCGGCCAACCTGGCGCGGAAAACGTCGAATGTCAAGCAGACTATCCAGCTGAGAGTTAGTCTTCTGCCGAAAGTCAAGTCTTGTGCTCGTGCCAACGCTTCTTGATCAGGAGCCGCTACAGTAAAGGCGTCCAGCATCACTAGACTATTTGAGCATGTCTTCTTGTTCCCGGTTTGAAATAACGTCTGGATCTTGTGTAGGAAGATACTCTCATTGCATTGTTTTCGCTCCTCATACTCAGCATTGCTTGCAGAGATACTAAGACGAATGACAAAGGAAGTCGGGTATGAAGGAGAGAACGGTGCACTATTCAATCATGTTTGACTTTCTACACAGACAGATAAGACCATGGACAGTAAGGTCACGACTCAGCCCTGCCACTGCAGCTCGATCAAGCTTAGACGCGATCCTTCAGGCTCTGTGATATTTGAAATAAGGAACCGCGAATCGGCCGTGGCAACGAGCTGCTTCCAGTCCTCCAGCTCCCTGACCTTCGCATTGAACAGTGTCAACATTGTCAAATCCAGTGTCCTCTGGTTTCTCTCAATCTCCGGGGGCACGGTGCCAATTGCGGGCATAATCTCATCCACAATCAACACCGTGGCTCCAGGCTTTAGGCCCGGGATTAGTGCCTGTAGTATGCGTGTAGCCATGGCATCCGACCAATTATGCAGGATCCACCTGAGCATATAGACATCTGCTCTGTGTACGGGCTGCGGCTTGAAGAAATCATGTTCCATGAAATTTACCCCTTGAAGGTCAACGTTGGATTGCTTGCGAACAGCCTGAATCGTGCTCGGCAGGTCTTGAACAGTGATTTGCAAGTCCGGACATTGTTTTTTGAGCATAAAGGCAATCTCGCCTGTAGATCCACCCACGTCGACGAGATGGTTGACCTTCGACCAATCGAAGTTGTTGACTGTATGCCGAGGGTCGTAGCCGTCGCCGGCCTGGTACAAACTCATGACAGCAGCAAAGTGCTTGGCCTTGGATGGAGATCGATCCAAGTATTGGTAGAAGTCTGCATCGCCTGTGCCTATAGCGAACATGATTGCCGATTTCGCTGGACTGTCCGCTTCTGGCCATTTCCGCAGTGCAGGCGCAAGATTGTTAAGGCCAGTGCTGCCTATTTCAAGCATCGAGAACCAGTCAGACATCTGATCCGAGTTGACCCAGGCACGAGTAATTGGGGAATGCGCGATGTATCCCTGTTGTTTTTCTTCAAACATTCCAAAAGCAATAGCAGCCCTCAAGATCTGCCGTAAAACTCCCGCCCGGACCAAAGTCTTCTCTGCGACATCTCCGTATGAGATCTTTGCATCGCCACCAACAGGGACCAGCTGAGCAATTCGGAATTCGAAGATGAATCGCATGAGGCCCAGAAAGGCTGTTTGGGTGAATCCGTGCATATGTGAAATGTCCTCGGACCTTGTGAATAATCGCTGCATGTTTTGGCAATCGCTGATGAGACAATTTCGGGCCTGTTCGACTGGAGGCGGGTAGGAACCATTTTGAGCAGAGTCTGCTTCAAGACTCAGCGAGGGCAGCTTGTTCACCTCGTGATACTTTGCAATTAAAGCAACGCTTTCAGAGAGCGACTGAGCCAAGGCTGCGACGCTATCTTGCGACTTTGAAGTAGCCATCTTTTTGCAACATGAGTGGTTCGTTGCGATAGAAGTATTGTCATGCCAGCGCTAACATGGCGTATATATATGTCTTAGATCGCCGACTGAGCAAGATACATCCCATGAAGACCGCAACGCGTGTTGTACGTACCCTGTCTACGGAAGTCCGAAGCCTCCTATCGCCATTCCCGATCTAGCATCAGATTCTGCTCTATGCTACCTTGGAAGCCAGACACCTTATCAGCTTCGTCCACCGGCATATTCCCCACAGAGCTTCGTCAATCGGATTATACAGTCCGTCAAATGCATACACGGATACTAGGAACAGGACAGGGCATTTACTCTGCAGTTCTGCATGGATCACTGCCAGTCAGACAGCTTAGTGTGCCCAAAGTCGGTCAGTGCAGAGAGTGGGATCATAGAGTCAGAGGCCTTGCTTGCCGATTCCATAACGCATGTGATGGACTGTAGTAGGTCACAAAGCCCTAGGACATGCTACCCTGTCATATGAATAGAGAGTTTGAACTATGCCAAGGCCTTGGAACTCTGTCGTCCCTACGTGGCCCATTTCAGGAGGCACGGAAGCGTTCGCGATCGCAGAGATAAACTCCACGCGCAGAGCGTGATGTGGAGTATTCCAGGATACATCCTCTGGACGCTGGTCTGTCTGCCATACCGTCGTACGGGCAACGCAAGCCTCGATATATTGTTGCGCAAGCACGACATGAGTGGCAGACGCGTGAATCGGCATCTTTATGACGGGGACGGAGGTTTTCAGGTCCGGCAACTTGAACGAAGCGACAGAGCGTAGATCATAGGCTGACCATGAAAGAAGAGAACAACAGTACATTGATTCGCAGGCTGCCATAAAACATCAAGGCCAGGCAATGTCCAAGTCAGCACACCATCTCATCCACAGCTTGTCCAGCTCTTCTTGGGACACGAAGTCGGCCTGCTATCATCAGCCATTGCTATTGACACACAAGAACGGGAAATGTGAAAAAAAGAACGAAAACCCCACCTGATTCGGTCTTGCTTTCATCCGATGGAAGAAGCGTCCTCGATTCTCTAGAACCTGTGGAGCATCACTGGTCGCTAAATGCACTCCCGTGGCCGCACCCTGAGACTGTCCGATCCCCACGAGAGACATCATCATCGGAAGGATCCGGTAGAATGGATCTCTCCAGGTCGGTCGATCCGGAACCTCGAGTACGTTTGTCTTGACGAGCCCTGGGTGGAAAGAGAAGGCCATGCGGTGGCCACCATTGTGGCAGGCGAAGTGCTGCTGTAATCTCCGGGCGAAAAGAGTCTGCACGTGCTTCGTCTGGTTGTACCTTGATGGATCGACCCTGCCGGACGGATCTATACTCAATGTATGGACTTTCTGCTCAATCTTTCCCTGCGTCTTAACCAAAGGAAAGTGGTCTCCTATGTGTCCAGTGTAACTAGCGAAGCTGGAGGTGAGGATGACGCGGGCGGTCGTACGCAGGTGCGATTGTAGAAGATAAGTCAACAGAAATGGGCCGAGGAAGTTGGTCTGATAGACAAGCTCGAAATTGTCGGCCGTGAAATCCTGTCCTGGGGGACACGCTAGTATGCCGGCATTGTGAAACAGAAAGTCAACCTCGCCGTGCTCCCACTGTTGTGCAAAGTTGCGGACAGACTCGAGCGAAGCGGTGTCGAGCGACATGATCTCAATGTTCGCCTCATGACAGGACTCGAGCATTGATTTCTTCGCCTGCAAAGCCTTCTGCTCGTTGCGACATGCGAGTATAACCAATGCTCCCATTTCCGCAAGCTGAAGTGCGAGGCTGTACCCAATTCCGGTGTTGGCGCCCGTTACGATCGCGGTTCTGCCTTTGAGGTTCTTCGAATCTGGCTTTAAGTCGGGCAGCAGTCTGGCAAATATCATGGCAGCAGATGCCAACATTCTTTCGCGTAGGAGGACTAGTCGTCGGCGGACGGAGGGAGTTGTCGACATGTCTGCGCGCTGTCCGTAGTCTGGAGCCGATGAGTCGACCATGCAAAGGCCCATGTATGCAAAGATTCCAGTGATGTCAAACGTCCCTTGGAGAACGAGAAAGCTTCAACAATACCGTGAAAAGCCTTCAGTGCATCAGAGCAGCAGTTATACTCCGCTGACTGTGCTGCTGTGGGCATGCAGCCCCAATACTGCGGCCATGCAATCGCAGCTGGGGTCAAGCTTGGCCCCTTGAAGGGCTATCATAAGTTGATCTTGGTCGAAGGCCGACCAATTAGCGACTTCTGATGTGCTTAAGCATTGTGTTCACCAACTGGGTCGCATCGGAGAGACTCTAAGTTAGACGCAATACCTAATGATCGTCTAGAAGTCAGTGTCCAACCCCGGCTGCGGGCCTGCGGCTGCAAGTACTGGGGTTCTATCGCATAGCAAAACATGCTTTCGGCAATGTGCTGGTATTGCATACCATAAGAATGACGGAGAGGTGTTCACCTGTTGCACATTGCACCAAGATAGGGAAACAAGCTCTGTCGAGCTCAGTATCGAAGCTATGCCGGGGTGTTCAGTGTCCTTGATTTGCTGATCGAACGCCTTTGAAGAGATCAAGCACATCGAGCTCTCGTGCAGTCATTCAACCCATGTCAGAGCAAGTCTGCGCGATCGAGCAATCATACTGCATGCTACGGTCTGTCAAATGCATTAATAAGCGGAGCTCCAAACTGAGTTTGCAGGGCACTTTGCCAGGTGTTTGTCCCGCTTGGGTTTCCCAGACTGCAAGTGACAGACTGTAGGGATCGATGCCTACGACTTCCAGTCAAACATGATTAGCAGTCTGAGGCAAGCTTTAAGCAGTCTTTGGTAATGTTACAGTAGTCTTTGATAACGTTCCAGCAGCCCGGTTGCCGGAAATTTCTCCACTCCATAGACAAGGATGTGGCGCTCCATGTCCGGGCATTCCAAAAGAGCAAGATTCGTCGTCGGCGACCAAGGAAAGAAGAGTCAATGAGCTCCATTGACGCGGTGAGCTGCGTAAGGCATGCGAGCAAACCCATCTTTAAGAAATTCGCCCGGGTCTAACAGAAAAGAGATTTTCGACATGACGTGTCTGGAAATCGATTGTTATCCAAGGGTTGCTGTCTTAAAGTACACAGTAAGTATGGAATTGTATCGTCCCTTTGACCGTCGGTGTACAGTACTGAATATGGCATCGCTTCGTCGGGGCGCGGTGCTTCCGCTCGTGCTGCGATGTAGTGGTTTTTCGGTAAGGCTGTCGTTGCCAGACAGATTCGCCAACTTTTTCTCATTGGTCCACTGAGTCTGGAGCCGGCTCTTTTGATTGGTTACGAACTAGTCTTGGCTGCAAGCCGCGTTGAGGGAACATATATTGTCTACAACTTCGGTCACCATCAAGCATCGTTGGTTTAGTGGTAAAATCCGTCGTTGCCAGACAGAATCGCCAACTTTTCGGCGCTAATGCTGCAGCGTCGACGGGCCCCGTGTTGTAAGTATTGGCTGAGTGAGTCAATCTTGATGTACCACTAATACCGATCCAGCGATTCACGGACGATGCAAATCATCTTTTTGGTCGGCCGTCGTGCCCCCTTCCAGGATCCGTAACCGAGCGCTATCCCATTATTAGGATTCGATAACCGGGTATCCGAACATCTTTTTGGATTTCTTGATCCTGTTTCCAGCGTCTTGGAATCCGCGTTCTCCAGGAGCATTGTGCATACTATGCATAACTCTAGCGACGTCGTGGGCAGACCGCCACAAGAAGGCCGCCTGGCCGGGGCTCGCGGCAGTAATGGGTTCCTCACGACTTTACACACGAGCATAGTGAACAACTATGGCTGACGACGCAGAACTGCTGGCGGAGATCCGTAGTCTCCAGGCAAACAAGTGTCCAGACTACACGATCCCCTCGGAGGCGCGGGACTCTCAAGCATACAAGAATACCCTTGGAGTGGTGCGACGCGCGTGGGAGGACTACTACAAGGACTGCTGCAACCCATCCGCGACCGAAGATGCCTGGTCATCTATTCCGGGCGAGGCTCAACTACAGGCCTTCTTCCTATGGTGCTTGCTTAAGAGGAAGGGAAAGCTGGGCGGAAAGCTTACGGTCCAGACGTTCAAGAAGTATCTCATTCAGCTGAGAAGGCTCTTCCGCGATAGACATGGTGGAACCCCAATTTCGCTAAGGACTTCTGAAAACCTGCGCAACTACGTGAACGGAGGACTCGCGCAGAGAGGAGCTTCCCGGGAGGCTATGCCGAGGCCAGTAGCAACGCCCGCGGTCGTCATCGACATCCTATACTTCCTGTGGGCGCTCGACGAACACGAGTTCGATCATCCACGCATGCGACTGCAACTTTCGTTCTCGATCACTCTGCTCCTCTACTTCGGCATCCGTCCCGGGGAGTTTATCGAATCTTCGTCTCATTCAGGGGGCAACGAGGGTGTGTTCTACGGCGACTTGGACGTCATGGTTTTGCTTCACGAAGGCCGACGTCGTTTCGCGATCGAAGTGCAGCTGCGGAACCGTAAGGGGGTCCGCGGCTTGCGCGTCAAAGAGTAGGTGTTTCCGTAAGCCTTGCGCCATGCTACTCTAACTCGCAGTCTAGCACCAGCATGGCGTTGCTCCAGGAATTTGAACGGCCGGAACTGTGCCCAGTCGCACAGTTGTTCGCGCTAGCACTTGCGGATGGCGCTTTCGAGGATGTCCACAGCGCCGCCGATATCAGGAACATTGCCACCCCACCGCCGGATGTATTTCAACGTCTCCGCGTCCGAGAGAGCATGAAGAAAGTTCCAGTACTGCGCCGCCTAGAAGGACGTGGCAAAGCCACCTCGCAAGAGAAAATTGCCACCTGCAAGGAGCTCGGCCCTGTAATGGAAGCACTGGGGCACCGAGCTGGTCATCGCGAACGTTTTACACCGTACACCATCTGGAGGGGTCATGGCGGTTTGCTTGACAGTATGTAACATCACGGTGTCAATTAAGCGATAGCTAATAGTACCAGGGGCCGTGTCAGCCGCTAGACGTCAACAGAGGATGGGACACGCTAACTCGCAAACGTTCCAGCATTATCTTAATAAGTTCTCCACCATCGATGGGCAGTCTATGGTCCTGGGTCGACCTATGGAGCAAGATGTGCTGGACCGTGTGGCTTCAATGGCCTCAAGTGTCGATGTGAATGCTCCTGAGCCAGCAGGTGCTTCCTTGACTGACACGGGACGTCACAATCAGCGGGCAGGTCTCCAAGCCCACCGTGACGAGAGGAAACAGTACTTTGACTCGCCTTCAGCATTTGCAACGGCCGTCGCGCGGCCAGAGCTTCACGACAAGGAGTATGTCCTGGCAGCACAGGAAGTCTCGCGCGGCCGTCCTGTTCCAAGCGCTGTGTTCGACAGATACCTTCAGTGGGACACGGACCGGAGCAGAATCATCCAGATGTTTTACAAGCGCAAGCCGGAGCAAGGGTTGCAGCTGGAAGACATGCTAGAGCCCCTTACATCCATCGCTGGCACCGACTCTAGTACATGGAGGTACCCGGAAACAGTCCTTGGCTCAGATGGCGGTTGTGAGTGCGGAATCGTCCAGTCAAGGTATGGAACCCGAACATTAGTACACTCATCGTCTTGCTAACAGACAGTTCAGGGAGCGAGACACTGCTATGTTCAATTACCACTTGCTCTGTTGTTACATGCGTAGGCGCAGCGAAGAGCTAACTTTGAGATTGTCCCGACGGATCGAGAAGCTTCATGCTGTCTGTCCTTTGCCGAGATGTAGCCGGGATCTCGCGAGGCTAGCTCTTCCATCTATCGCCAAACACATTGCGATGCATCTCAGGAAACACGAGTCGAAACGCCTCCGGCAGCAGAAGTCGAAACGCCTCGGAAAACACGCCACTTGGTGTCTGTGGCCGGACTGTCTCTCAACCCCTAGTTCGGCTGCCGAGCTCCGCCTCCACATCCTACACCATCATTCCCTGCCGCTCCCCGACACGCTACCAGCGTTGCACTATTGTTACGATTGCCGAACTTACTTTCCCTCGGCACTGGAGTGGGACGAGCACAATCGCAAACATGTTGAAGATCCAAGCATGTTCTGTGGCCAGATCCTCAGGAGAAATGTGATCCTCGTGGCTTGCCGCTGTCCATTCTGCCTAGGAGCTGTTTCCCTGCCGCCAGCTCAAAGAGCATCGCCCCACCGACTCGGAGCACATTTCTATAATCATCTGATCGACCATCTGGGCAATATCACCACATGTACCTTCACTTGCCCGCATCCTCTCTGCGAATATCAGATCACTTCTGCTGAGCTGTTCTGGGACCACTTTCACGCAAAGCATGGCATCGAAGGACCAAAGAAGGATACAAAGGCATACGAGCGGTTGCTGGCAGTAACATCACTCCTCAGCGATACTTGTGCGTCTGTCGATTCAATCACGACATTGCCGGAGTGTGATGTTAGTGGAGATCCAAGCAGGATCGATCTTGATCTCACTCAAGCAATGCTCACCGGCGGTGCTTGTGCGCCTGCCGGCCAAATTACGACATCGAGCTTGGAACACGATATAAGAAACGATGAGAGGATGGTTGATCTTGAGCGCTCTACAGTAGATACGTGGACAGAAACCATCGATCTCACGCAAGAAGCGACACCGGTCGAGCCATCTGCCCGCACGGCTTTACCTCGCACCGCGATGCAACGTCACAGGAACCACTTATTGGCTGCAACGCAGGAATTGTCTCAAGACCCCGTCGACAAAAAGTCATCACGCGTCAAAGGCCATAGCACTCAAAGGGTTAGACGTCAAAAGAAGCGGCCATGCGTTGCAGAGGACCGACACGCCATCTGGTCGGGAGTCTACTAGCTAGGTCGAAATTAGATCTACAGATGGAGCAATGCATTCATGGGTTAACGGGTCAATACATTAGCTTCACCGTGTTTGTACCACGTGGATCATTGCCGTGAAGTTGTTCTCCTCTACTTTATGTACCTACTTTAATTGTCTTCCACTAGTGTCAATTGAACCAAGACTGATTCACGTTCACCAAGTCTCGATGTTCGGGATCAGCCCGGTCCTACGCTGGCGACCGGACTCGGAGTGCTTTGAGCTGAACAGGTCGCAGAATTCCAAGTAGTACGGAAACGGTATTTGCCAGTGGATCAATTACCGGAACTGGTCAGTCAGAAGGTATATGTACTTTTTTCGCGTGGCTAGCAGCGCCTACACCTCGGTCAACGCAGAACTATTAGCAATCTCCAGCATTAAATCACCGGAGGACTTCATGTCCATTAGCCTGTCGAACGTGCGCAATGATGCTCCTCGGGTTTGACGTTACTCGCTACGTTGCGGCTGGAGCTGATACAAAACTTGGACGAAGGCGTAACGAGTCTCAATCATATCTCGAACAGGTCCAGGCGCTACACAGTACCACAAAAATATTCAGCTGCCAAGACAAAGCAGAAGCCTTAGTACAAGCGATCCGTGACGAGAGATACAAGGTAGCGAATCTGATTCTAGACATCGGCGACGTAGCAATTAGTCACGTGTGTGTGAACTCGTTCTGGAATGCTCGTAGCACCTGCGAGAATCAGATCGCAGCTTATGAAAACAAAAAACGACACGCTTCCCGCGATTACGATTCCACACACCACAGTCAGTGCGTCGAGCTTCTGACACGTATCGAAAAGGAGGAGGAGCTGCAGGTCTTGGGCGAAGCACCGGGGCGGAGGAACTGTCCGAGATGTGGCTTTGCGGTTGTGCATTAGATATGTCTTTCGGGATGCAGACTTGAAGCCGAATTTGTGTTTATGTTAAACCTTCGTGCAGGTGCTATGGGTTGAAAATTAAATGAGCGAACAGCTACCGATGTAAGGCAGCGTATTCATAATGTTCATCAAAGTACAGTGGCTACATAGTAAATTGCTTCCTACAGCACTCGAATCCCTTGCCTAATTTTGCCTGTCTTGGAGTTTCGCAGGAATGCTCTGCAATCCTTCCTTTGCGTAGCGGGCTCCATGCTTATCGCAACACACTTGATTCAGTCCCATATACTTCATATATGTCATTGCCCACCATGCCCTGCGTTGATCGGGAAATGTCAAAGAAGCGATGAATTTGCGTTGTTGATCTTTTAGCACCACCCAGTGAGTATCTAGGCTGTCTAAGGGTGCTAGATGTCTCGCTTTCTTTATAAGCTTTTTGCGTACATGGTCGTACAGATCGGCAATTATTTGCTCGTCTCGTCCGGAGCAATCGTAAATGCATTCCGCATAGAGAGTAAATTCAGCTTGATCGACAGGTTCAGGAGCTCCGGTCGTGGTCGGGCCGGCACGATTAAGATACTCCATTTTGGTATATGTTCAGCTTCGTCTCCAGTGGATAAGATAAAGCCTAGCTAAGTGAAATGGTAGGTAGCTTCGTATTTGAACTGCTCGCTCCTAATTTCCGAAACCTTTTAGTAGACATGGGCCGTCCGGGAAAAGCACTAGAAGCGAGATCCTGAAATTCACTAATGTCTTGCCAAGAACAACTGTTTGTACCACATAGCACTACGGGGTTAGCTCTAAGCTCGAGGTTTGAGCCATACGGCATGACTAAGGCCAGTCGCCGCTCGTTTCGGGCCACTTTCTCGGGGCTAATAATCAGTGCGATGAGTTGGATTGTGTACGCTACAAAGTGTTGACAAAATCGAACAATCTACTGTATCCGGCTATACTGTCGAAGATATTCTTGAGCTTCTAAAACAGAAGTTTGGAGGAGAACCCCCTACAGAAGTGTCCAAAGATCTATAATGCAAGCAAGAGAGGTCTACTCGAAATCAAAAAAAAGGATGGAGTTCTAGCGGAGGAGTTGCGCGTAGATGTTTTTGCATTCTAAGCTATTACATCAATCTAGCAATGTACCGCTGACATGTAGGAAGCTGTTGAATCCATCGTGGATCGCTTGTTTGTTGACATCGCGCTCTTGTAGTTCTATGTATACAAAATGTGGATTGCTGTTGCGGAGTGCATGTTGTGCTACAATCCAATCGGACGACTGCCACTAGAGGCACTTGTGAACTGTTCCACTAAGCATCATCCGCGTACGCAGCTGAACTCCAGAAGTAGATGAGCTATGAGAGGGCTCTCAGCCCATCCGATTACTAAGGTGGCCCTTCCGCTTGCGCGATCTGTGCCATACGCAGCTTATCAGCAAGAAGTCTTCGCTTCCAATAAGCGTGGGAAGCCGGCGTCTTCTGCTTCAAATCATCCGGTATCTTTGCAGCCGTAATGTACTCTGGCCTCAAATTGAATAGAAACTGCTGGTCCTGCTCTGGCCATTGTCCTGATTGGCGATATGGGCGACCGTCTTTTGACTGTTGATTCTCGACATCTCCACTCGCTCGCCAGTACACAGCAGCGTCGAGCAGCTGCGCCTTTCTTCGAGCGGCACAAGATTCCGCTCCCTGGTCACTACCGTGCTCACATTTCACGTCTCGTAGATGACAGGCCGCGTAGCACTGCCGCCAAATGTTGGTCGCCTTTTCACCATGCGCCTTGATCATCCATATTTCGAGCTCTCCAGAGAGACTTTGACCGTTGTGAATAGCATTCTGGAATTCGAGCTCAGTGTTAGCAGGCATATCTATGCAACGATCCATTCTGATGCTATAGTAGTACTATGGTTGAGTGAGGCCTAGAAAAGCACAGAGTATACGAGAGACTGGTTCCTGATGTTACCACTTCCAGCTTCCAGCTTTCGTTCTGGCCCGCAATCGAACTACTTCCCCGTTTCCGAGATTTAGTGCTATGCTGACCAAGGGTTTCAAGGAGCAACATGTGTATCTTGTGCACGACTGCCATTCTCCAAGCTGACATGAGTCTTGATATTGTAGACTTTCACTATGCTGCCCGAAGAGTCTTACGCAGCGATCCGACACTTGATTCATTACCTCTGGTCGCTGGATGAATACGAGTATGAGCATCCACGCGAGCGCATTCAGCTTACCCTACTGTTCCAACTTCTTTACTCTACAGGTGCTAGGCCACGCGAGGTGGTGGGATCTAGCAGGAGCCATGGCCTGCTCTATAAGCATATCAAGTTTCTAGCAATAAAAGACGGCGATGGTCGCCGTTTAGGCATCGACATTGAGCTTCCGGATAACTCAGATGGGAGGCAAGTCTTGAGTTGACAATGGATCTCCGCGTACTAATGTGTCCGATAGCAACACACTGACCCTGCTGGAGGACCTCGAACCGCGAGACACATGTCCATTGGCAGCTCTATTTGCATTGGCAATCCAGGATGGTGCTTTGCAAAACATACACTCCATTGAAGACATATCATCTTTACGGCACCTACCAGGACACGCTATACAACGTATTCCAGTAGTCTCGGGAATGGGCGAGATCCCCATTCTCCGAGGCGGACTTCTCCGAGGACATCGTGCCACCGAACCTGTTCCGTTGCGAGCACGGCGTTTCGATCACCTTGTAACACAATTGGTTGAGCGCTCCGGGCTCGCTAAGGGACTTGATCTTTCCATTCTTCGGCAGAGATTGACGAAACGGGAACTTCAATCGAGCTTCGAGTGCAAACGAGGCCACCAACAGTACCTTGTAGCTCTTCTCCAGTCGGCGACATCACAGTGTTTGACGACGCAGATAGTGGCTCCTTGCGCCGAAAGCTTGCGGGCCTTGGACGACCTACTACCCTACCTTAATATCCCACATGTGATACCTCCTGGCCCCAGTCAACAAAGTGTCGCATGTCTGCAATGGGACACCTCTCGAGCTGAGATCTGCGCGCTTTATCAAGGGACACAGAGCTGCCCAAGATTTAGCTCAGAGGCGATGATAAATCCCATCCTTGAGCTTCTACGGGCTGGCCACCTGCCATGGCGATACGCTGGTACAGCAGTATCGGCTGCAGATTCCTGCACTGCCTGTGGATTGGGGCTTTCTCGTTCCTGGGTACACCAGAATAATCACCTGCTTAGCTGTTTCCTTCGCCAGCAGCAACATAGGACATTGACTTGGTTACAGTCACAACTTGACAAACAGCATCTCTCTTGTCAATGGCAAGGGTGCAACGCTAAGTTGCATGGGCTTGACATTGAATCTCTGGCAGTGCACATCCAGCATCACCTTGTCACCGCAACTGGGCGCTGTCATTGGGATCTATGTGAGTACGAAACGACCTCTTCAACCGACTTGAAGATGCATATGCTCCAGCTGCACTTGCTCCCACTGCCCGATACCCTTCCCGAGATGCACTACTGCTACCAGTGTCAAAGGTACTTTGACACCCCACTTAAATGGGACCATCATTGTTCGCTGCACCTTCAAGGTCTCAAGGACTTGTACTGCGGCCACAGCACCATGAGAGGAGTTACGCTACTGGCATCGAAGTGTGTGTTTTGCTTGGGTGATGACACCTTAAAACCGAGGAAGAGGTTTTTCCAGTACAAGAGTCTGCACAAACTTTATTCCCACCTGGCACAGTGCCATCTCACGTCAGCAAAATGGCCTATAACCTGTCCACACCCGCTTTGCGCGGATCGCATTGATGCCGACAACTTCTGGGGCCATCTAGAGGCGAGTCACGGTGTGCCAGTCTACAAGCCCCGCAGCATGGATCTTGCTGGTCAATAATATTCCACTCTTCGTTATATTCGCGCTGCGGATGTGGTAGGGCAGAGAAGTGGAGCCATCCTGGTCGAGAAATGGGCTCCAGACATATCTTGAACGAATCATCTTCTGTGGTCCGCTCTTCCCACGCTGCTGCTGCCTGATCATTACTCAATACTATAACTTCCGGTGTGACGGACGTAAGAAAGTGCTCAAGCTGCTCCTCACGACCTGGGAGCAGCAATGCCGGATCACAGGGTAGGAGAGTGAGTTGCAGGGCGACAGATACCCACAGGCAGAGCTCTCGCTCGATGCCATTGAGTAAGAATGTTACAATGGTGGAACCTCGCTTGACGCCTCGATCGAGCATGCCAGCAGCCAGTCGCACTGTTGCATACTCCAGATCAGCAAAGTTCCAGTTCAGGTGGCCTGCTCGAGGCGCGTGTGGTTCGCATCGAAGCTCTTGGAGATGATCCGCCGGCTGATAACACATCGTGTAGGCATTGTATTGAGGCTTTCTCTTTACCGCGTTCCCAAATGCGTGCCACACTGTAGCCATAATTGGGACTGGCGGATTACAGATCTCCGCAGGGGCCATGATGATCGATTGATCAGAACTTTGCAAATTCGTGGGCAGGCTCAATTTCAGGTCCGACTCTTAGGTTCCTGCTGAGGTGTCGATACATGTGAAAGCTTTCTTATAGCACGCGGTGAATGTATCTAGCCCTTTTCAACTTTTGTAAGTTGGTCTCGAAATTGAGATTTTTCCGTGCTAGCCGGAGAGCTCTACCCTGGAAGACCTACCACTCGATGGATGGGCTATACGAGGGAACCCGAGGGGGTGGGGGGCTGCCGGAGCCCTGGCCACTTGTGAACGTGAGAGACTGAGCAGATTTGTGATTACTAAGCTCCTCGGATTCGTCAGTCATTTGCGATGCCGCATGTGCCTATTCACGATTCATCAACGCTGAGGGTTCAACAATTCGACACCTAGGCCAAACGCTATCAACCACACTCCAGGAAGACAACCTCAACACGTAACGTCAGAGACAAGATGCCACCTCTCCCTCCAGAACGCAGAGGTTCTGTATACCTTTTGGATGCAAGCACTAGAGTGAAATATATAACATAGTATCAAGCGGTCGAGAAACCCAATTTCATGTATCCTTTGCGGAGGCCAGGTTATTTAGTCGGATAGAACTCCTGTTCACTTCGCCTTCCTCGTCGATGACGAATTCGTGTCTCGACAGCTTCCTATAAGACCGTGAGCTACGTCCCTCCGACAAATTCATCCTACGCAAATGACAGACCGCAATTTTCATCCTTCCGTTCAAAACGTTCCGCATTTGGGAGACATTTCTTCTGCGTCTTCGGGTACCTCGGACCCGATGCTGCTTACTGTTGCGCCTGTCACGAATGCAGATACGTACATACACCGATCGACCTGTGTGCATCCCATGCGAATATGAGGCATGGCTAATGGTCCGTAGATAGTTCCCGTAGTTATACTAGAGCAAGATATCGGTCTGTAGTCCTCGAGGCGTGTCACGCACTAACTTGTGTCCAAGACCGAAACCAAGATGAGCAACGCCGCGGCACATAGCCCCAGTCAGTTTTCTTGTCGTCATCTTAGCAATGTGTAGGTAGGTCGTCCCTGGAGTCCGGCTGAGGGATTCTATTACAGGCTCAATGAGAAGCTGCGTCGCGCCGAAAAGAAGGATATAGAGCATTCCATCAGCGCCTAAAAGAAGGATGTAGAGCATTCCATCAGCCCTAGAAGAAACTGCGAAAAGCATCACACTGCTTATCTTCTTTCTCGAGTTGTAGAAGGCCGGCCATGCTGAATATATGCAGAACTATAAGAAACTTGAGTAGAAAGTGAACCGGGTAGGATTACCAGGTGTGGTGCTGGACAAAGGGAGGTGACCAATGCTTTTAATGGCTAAATCGAACGATGCTCGGCAGAAAACATCATACCATCTATACAAGTGGATTTCGCCAGCGCTGCAGGAACCAGACTAGCGTGCATTTGTGTTTCGGAAAGGTACGAACGGCTCGCTGGAGTCACGCGTTTGTAAGAGAAGGTCCGATATTAGGTTCTAAAATTAGAGCGGAAGCATCGCGCATCTTTGAATAAGGTCGTGAAATCACGCACCACATTGAAGAATCTGGCACCTTTGGCAGCTTGGATGTTCAGTGACGCCATCGCTGTCGATTGTGCATTTTCGCTATCGGAATGTAAGGTTTTTAGCACCTTTATCGAGCGATGCGTTCCTGGCGCAACGCTGGCAGGCCGTCGACAACGCTTCGTATGCGGGATCGTACTTGCAGTGGACCCGGAAATGTTGCGCTTCGCATGATGCCATCACAAACAGTCGCGCTAATCGCTGGCCCGGTTCTGCCGTAATTTGACATTCTGGGGTTGATTTGTGCGCTACAGGTCTAGTTAGACTTGAAAATTATTTGCGTTGTGATGACTGATCACCTAGTGCTCGTGATCGCGCCACAGCATCATATCCGTGAGTATAGAAAGTATCTCCCGTCGATAGACGACACATTATTCGCAACCAAACTTCTCTGAACCACGAACTGCAAGTCAGCATACCACACGACTGTTACAATGTGGTGCTCCGGGACCTTTTTCTCGAGCGCTTTGATGTTCGCCCTGGTATTATGCCACAATTCCGCAGCGAATGAGAGCGCCTATAACGCTCTTTCCACCGTTCAGGACCCTACTTGCAGATGCGGTGCCTCCGCATTTTTAAGCAGCCCACACACGAACATTTCCAAGACTGAGCCGGTGGACAGATGTTTTGATTATCGTGAGTCAATCATGCCTCATGCTAAGATGTTATCAGTGTCTAAGGAAGTGTCTACAGGCCTGCTTGATGCCAGAGGCACCGCCGAACCACAAGGGGTGTCCTCGATGTTTCAATCCCTTATTGCCCAAGTCTTGGCCAATCGTACAGGAGGCTACAGCCAACCTGTAGTGTACCCGGCCGACCCAGATCAGAACACGACATCTGGACAGGGTTACCTCTTGCGCCAACTTGAAGCTGGAGTCAGAGCCTGTCCCCGCCAGAAATTCGTGATTCTTGGATACTCCCAAGGCGCCAGTCTTATATTAGAAGCTTCAACTCGTTTTGACCAATTCATTTCAAACGCGATCGCAGCCATTATTCTTGTCGGAAATCCTTATCGCATCCCGGAGAAGAAGTCTAGCGTCAATAGTCGTGGACTCCCGGACAAGCGGGCTACAATTGGTCGTTTCGCAGTATCTGCCCTTTCTACCGGATCAAATGTCCCGCAACTTCCTCTGGACCTTGATACAAGCGGCAAAGTGCTCGACTACTGCCTAGAGGTAGGCGGCGGCTATCTGCGAAGTGTTAAGAACCTTTTTCTAACGTGAATTTAGCACGATACTGTTTGTTCAATTGACCCAGCTTGTGATTGCCAGCTCCCGGCAGATCACCTGTCCTACGGGTTGATTCAAACTGTCCAAGAAACTGCTTTCGAGCATATTATCCAGGCTCTTGCTTCAAACTGATAGAGAACAGTCCAGGCCTGTGTATGTTACGGTTTCAATTCTATTAGGACCAAGAGTTAACCAAATACGAAACCGTCTCTGTTTGAGACCCGACAACATAATAGAGAAGGTGTATCCGACCTGACTGTGTATGTAGAGACCAGCTCTGTTAGAATAGAGATAAAATAGAGCAACTGTCCGGGTAAAGGAAATTCCCCTTGTACTTAGATATATGAATTCTTCTTGTCGACCTGTATTCTTTACCTAGAGCAGGTGACGTGAACTATGTCTGTCTATCTATAAAGAAAAGGCTTGGGCCGAATCGTTCTGGGCTACAAAACACTCCCGCGTTCGTTTTATCTTTGCAGGTCCTGCCTTCCTAGCCGTGGGGGGAGCACTCTATCTGCACAAACATAGGTACTTTAGAAGTCCTTCTTTGCACCAAGTCTCTACGCCAACTCCATCCCGAATCTCTAGAGCTCTCCCTCCTTTGCTAGGGAGGATCGCTTTAACACTACTTCCCGGATAAGTTATTTGACGGCAGCGAGCAAGCCTCTTTGAATGTTAGCTAGGTCCTCCCAATTGTTTGAACTAGCCGCAGCAACGAGCTTCCCTCTGTTGCCCTGCCTGTCTGCAGCTCCACCCGTTTGTGTAGAAGCATACTGTCTAATTGAAGATTATCGAATCATCCGCCCAGAGATGTACCGCGCTTCCCAGAAGTGGAAGGTCTATTGTGCGCATTGGGTCCAAGACAACACTGCACGTGCTGCGCGCCGGACTGTAGCCTCGTCAATGGCAGAATGTAAGAGGTAGTGAGGCATCCTAGCTGGTCTTGATGTTAGGCTTGAGGTGCCTTTTTGTGTGACTCTAGAAGCGTTGCAGCATCTGCAACAAGGCATTCAAGATTGATGGGCGCCGACATCTCGTCACTCGGAACCTCTGGATCATGCTCAAATGGCTGAGTCTGCTGAATTTTCAGGGAGACATTTGGATCGATGCTCTCTGTATCAACCAAGAAGACAGCGTTGAGCGAAGCTACCAGGTCGCTCTGATGGCAAAGTTGTACAAGCAGGCAAACAACGTTTTAGTTGGGCTGGAACCACCTGGGAACGGGCTCCACGCTTTGCCTGGATGCTGGACTACTGCAAGCAACATCATGCAAGGATTACTGGCGGGCAAACATCTCGATCAGCTCGATCTCCTCAACAAAATTGTGCCGCAGAACACAATAGTATCATCATTGACACTATCATCAGGACTCCACGAGATTCAGAATTTGATCGCTTCGACATGGTTCACCCGCGCGTGGACTGTTCAAGAGGCGTGTCTCGCTCGCAAGATGACTTTCATCTGTGAAGGAGGTACCATTTCCTGGGACGACATGAGCGACATGTTCATCCAGTACCAAACACATCGGACGAGATGCTGCGCGCATGTTGTCAACACACTGCAGGCTGATCTTCGCAGCTGGCTTTACCAGATCTACTCGCATCTCGAAGGTATCAATTATACCAGGAGGGCGCTTGCACGCGGTCAGCACATTTCGAGATCGTTGCTTCATTATCAAGCGATGAGTGCGACTGACCCTAGAGACAAGTTCTTCGCCTTCCGCGGTTTACACACCATGTCAACTGAACAAGATCTACCTGCCCCGGATTACTCGAAGTCTAAGGAGGAGACATTCACAGAATTAGCCATATGGTTGATGAGAGATCAACAGTCACTTTCTGTGCTCTGCATACATTTGCCTGACGTTGATAAAAGATGCCCGTCATGGGTGCCCGACTGGTCTGTTCGCTCTGCTGATACGATAGATCCAAGCTACCAAAGAATGCGTCTCGACTTCTTGGATATGTACAATGCTGCAAAAGGATTGCGCATGGACTTTGACCACCTAAGTTCGACAAAATTGCGCTTATGCGGTGCCTTCTTTGATCACGTCGATCTGGTAGCTGAAAGAAGTTTCGAGCTTGACAGCATTGAAAACAACATCGAAGTCCTCGAGAGCTGGTACAGACTCGGTTATCCGGACGTTCGGGGTCCAATCATCGCTTTCAACGACGATTTTGCGCTCATTATGTTAGCTGGCTGCATTGCCCAGCCAGGTCAGTGCGTGCGAGAAGCAGCTCCTGATGATGTGTTCGCATGGAAGACACAGGTCCGCCGAATGTTAAGCGAGCCTTCAGCGTTTCACCACCCTGTGATGACCTCCCACACTGCTGCTGTACTCAAACGTCGCTTATTCCGGACTCGTAAGGGTTATATTGGTGTTGGACCAGCTGGCATGGGGAAAGAGAGCGAAATATGGCTTCTTGGTGGGGGCACAGCGCCGTTCGTCTTGCAAAGGTCAACAGCGTCGGTCGGAGATGTTCCAGAGTGTAGACTTATTGGCCATTGTTATGTGCATGGAGTTATGAAAGGCGAGGGAGTAGACGTGAGTGCAGTGCAACACTGTGTATTGACTTAGTCATCCCTGCAAAATGTAGCCGAGCGAGATTCCAGTCAGCATGATTCATCACGTGAAACCATGTCGCTTATGTTATGACGTCCGGATCTCCGGCTCTTGGACATCGTGCATGACCCAAGGATCATGTCCGCACTTCGGAGTGCAGCAATGAGAAATTCAAGCTCATGAATAAAGGTCAGAAAGCTCGACATATTCCTGGCGGGCGTCCGCCGCCCGCACTGGTTCCCAGAATCGACGATTGTGGCCGCCACGATAGAGGATGCCCCACGTCGACGCAGATCACAGAAGGGACCCATACTTGGGTACCAGTGACAATAGGTGATACCATATTGCCGACGAGGAAGCGACCAGGAAGAGTGAAGAAGAAGGGCAAAGCATGTTCGGATTGCCGTGAAACCAAGCGCAAAGTAAGGTTGGTACAAATCAAGATAGACCCTGCGGACTGACTGAGCCAGTGCACGCATGATGGTTCCAAGCAGAAACCCTCCAGAGCCGAAATGATTGATCCACCTTTTGGCAGTAGTCATAGCTCAGTCGACAATACTGCTTGCTCATATGAGAATCAGGATGCCCATAACGAGCAAAACATGGCGTCGACTATCAATAAGCAAGGCCTGCTTGTGGACTTTGGGTCTTGGGCTATGGACAAGGCAGAAGATGTGATTCAAGACAGATCTGAGCCAACAAGGTCCGGAGAACAGTCATTGGAGGACACATGGCTCCCGTTTCATGGTTTATTACCTTCGTCGACCACAGCCACAAGTGGACCACATCTAGATCCCAAACAGACGGACGATACTCCGCAGACGATTGGACCTTGGGATGATGAGCAAGCGTTCGACTTTCGGGACCTGGACACCCAGTGGCTAGGCAATGCTTCGCTGTTCACTCAGCCCAGTATGTCGCCGACAAACGCTTGGAGATCCAACACTCCATCCAGTCAAGCCAGCGAGCCGATGCCTGGGAGCTGCTATAGTGAGGCACCCACAATGAATTCCATTGCTCATGGTATGTGGTGGTGCGGCTCAACTCATGACTTTCTCGAAATCTCCCAAGGTCCATCCAGCCGACATGCCAGTCAGGATACTCCAGCCATGCTCACATCCCAACAATGTCGGTCGTATTTACCGCAAGATGCCTCATATCCATGGGACTACGATGTTGGCGAAGCTTGGAACCTCTCCAAATGGGACTCACGTGGCTCGGTAAGATCTAATCTACCGAACGTCGACTCCCTGAGCATGTGCGAAGGCGCAAGAACTTCTGCTAGCACCTGCATTAATCGACCGCCAGCTGAGGTGGACAGCACGAGAGGAACGAAGGCTACGAATGAAACCGGGCAGTTACACTCCCAAAAGTCTCTCGACATGAGGTTCGAGAGACAGATTCATCCTGATGGACCTCAACTCGGGCGTAAGATGCAGCGAGAGCGCAAGTGGACATGCGATGCCTGCGGCAAGTCGTTCTTTTGGCCGAAAGATCTCGCACGGCATAAAGCGACTCATCAGCAAGACTCCAAGCGATACAAATGTCCCTTCCCGGGCTGTGAATTGATAAAAGGCTTTGCACGCAAGGATCATCTTGATCGACATAAGAGAAGTCATCATCTCGAATTTCTTGCGCAGGACAAATCGAGGGTGGAATCATGATGTGTTGACCCTCCGAAAAGGCAGCCTCGTATCCACGACTTCTGCTGGGCAAAGGCTGTTTTCAAGGGCGGAAATTGAGTTCGTTCATGCACTGGCAGATTTCCTGCGTTAGACAGCTAACTGCACAGAGGAGGAGCCCAAGACCAAACTTACTCTGGTCAAGTCTGTTCCTTTCCCGCCGAGCTTTGAGTATTTGCCCACCTGGTTTCACAATATGCCATTTGAAGAGAGAGCATGGTCGCACTCAGCATCGCTGCCTAATGCAGAGCCTTTGTGCTGGGGTAAATCGGCAGTCGAAAGCCTCCATGAATGGGTAGGACGCGTACGTGCTCCGCCATCGTTGCTTCTGCATTACTGTAAATCTGTGGCAGGGAGAGATTCCGAGTCCACACAGGACTCTGGAGAGGACAATACTCCAACGTACGCAATTCAATCACATATCTCACTCCAGTTTGAGTGTCTTCAGGTCGGAAAGAATCACTATACCATGATCTGCAGTCTTCAATGTCCCTTCCTTTCATCATCCTATAACAGTTTGGGTATTTCAGCGTCCGCGGACGTAGGCCTAGTGGGCTGACTAACATGAAACAAGGCAATAGGAAAAGGATATGGGATCCTGTAGCTACAAGATAAGATTCGCGACGGACTAAACAGAGTTTGGAATGCGTACGCAGGCGACCGCTGGAGGGCAGGGAGAAAGTGCTCGGGGCGGAGCATCCCGAGACGCTGACGAGCGTAGACAATCTGGCGGGAGTGCTGGGAGCTCAGGGAAAGTACGAGGCGGCAGAGGAGATGAACCGGCGAGCGCTGGAGGGAAGGGAGAAAGTGCTCGGGTCGGAGCATCCCCATACGCTGACGAGCGTATACTGCCTGGCTTATCTCTTTCATCAGAAGCACGACTTTGCAGCTGCTCTGCCCCTCTATGAGCAGGCTTGCGCTGGGTACTCTAAAACTCTAGGCCCAGCACATCCAACCACAAAGGCATGTGCAGCCTACATGGCATCGCTGCAAGACCAGATCGGCGAATCTTGAAAGGTTCATCTTCTTCTGCCCGATTGTATACCACGTTCTCGTCGCAGAACACTTTACACGATTTCCTATATTGAGCAACGCGTGGAAGTGAAGCCTTCACGCAGTTTAGTAAGTTGTGAATAGCAGCGCCTGCAGTGCATGACTCGAACCGCCGAGACCACTTGCCAAGACCACAGCTTGAAGTCGGGTAGCCGCTCCCGTTCTGGTCGTGCCATCATCCGGTCCAGGCCGTTGTTCTCCGTCCAGTAGCCGGCTGATTCCTGCCCGATGTACCGCCTTCAATCGAGCTGTATGCGCTCGCGACAACATAAGTGCCTCCCACTTCCCGCTAGCAGCCGGCCTCGATACTAGGTATACGGTCGATGTAATATATAGTCTTTATATAGTATCGAGGCTAACGCGGACTACTTAGGTCGTATATAAGAAAATGCTCGATAGGAACGATACTGCGTCCGATAGATACGAATAAGGCCGAGTAGCTATAGTATAAGCCGAGAGATATAACGTATAGCTAGGAATAGACCGAGGTAGGTAAGGAATATATTATATTATATTATATTATTTAGTCTAGCTATATATAGATCTAATATCCGTATAAGCTATTCCTAAGTATTAACCTTACGTTTATACTCTTATTTACTATCTTAACTTAGAAATATTTCTATATTAGTTTTTATACGAGTATAACTAGAAGAGCTACTCGGTAAGAGTACTATTAGATATCTAACGTTAGGCTCTAAAGTATAAACCTATTTATACTTTTAAGGAACGTAATTATAGCTTATACTATCTCTACGTTTAGCTACTATCTATTTCTATTAACTAGTAGTCTTATCCTTAGATCTTTCTTCTAACTTTTTCTTTCTAAAAGAAAGAATATATTACTCTATCTATTACTTACTACTTCTTTTAATATTCGTTATAAAGAAGTCTATNTACTCTCTAGTTACTATATATAAGCTAGGTATTTATATAAATAGATATAGCTAGTTTATACTTATACTAGTATTCCTATATCTTTATATATTAGCGCTCTATATAGCTAGAGTATATATCTCTCGAGTAGAGTACTATTAATTATATAAGTATATTTCCTCTATACTAGTATCTTCTAGAGTACGTCGGCCTCGATTACTAATTAAAGTAGCCTAAAGGCTTTAGAATATTCCTATATCTAGCGTCTAAGTTCTATACTTAAGATATATTCTATCGATATAGTTTCTTAAGCTATATAATATACTTTCTTATTCTCTATAATACTATAATATCTAGAT